GGTTTTGGAGCCTTCCCGGGGGGAAGGGGGACGGGATCTTGCAGGCCTTTCCCTCCCGCCGCCAGCTTTGCTTCTGCTTTTTCAGCAATGGGAGCTAATGCTGCTTCTCTTGGTGTGGGCCACCGGTCTGGCACCCCAGAGCCTGCGGTGGAGCTGAGGGCAGAAGCGCCGGGTTTGGACAGGGGGTTTGGCCCCTCTCTCTGCTGGGGCAGGCCGGCTGCTCAGCTGCGCTGGGGTCACCTCGTCCCGCCCTTTTCCTCCCCACTAAACCTTGCTTTGTCGGGGAGTGGCAGAAGGACCTTCGTCGGTTTTGTTTTCGAAGTGGTGCTGTTTAAATCCCTCTCCGCCACGGGCCAGGAGACCGCCTCGGTTTAGCTTTGGTTGCCCTGAGACTTTTGCTGCTGTCGTGAAGCAATTTGTAACTAATTTGTTTAATCCGTTTCCAAATGTAGGAAAAATGTTCACAAAAAACCCCCACAACCCTATAAACTGGTCCCATGAATTTTGTTGTGGAAAATACACTTTTTTTCCTTTCGTTTTCTGCTTTTCTTCTCCTTGGACCGTGTTTTTTAGTGCTGGGGAGATTTCAGCTGGAGTGATGTGTCCAGCTTTGCAGGTAATGTTCAAAAAAGAGGAATGTGTGGAGGAGCCCTAGTGGAGGGAAAAATTACTGACACAGGTATGTGCTCCCATCCTGTATTTTCATCCTGTAGACAGTTCTCTTGCTTTTCTTTTGGCTTATTTTTAATGGTATTACTTAAAAATAATTACAATCTATCCTAAAGCAGGTTACAAAATGACAAAATAAGCTTTTTCTAAAAATGATTGCGAACTTCCGCTCCCCCCCCTCCAAGTCTACCACCCGTAGAAAGGAGGAAATAAAATCCTAATGCACTGTGAAGGATTTCAGATTTTGAGACATGCATGGCAGCAGTTACAGTGTCTCAGTTGAAGTTTGCTATTTATGAGGATTCCTTCTGTTCTGGTTCTGCCTTTAAGTCGGGAGGCTTATTCTGTAATTTGTAAGAGTAATTACCCAAATTTATATATTGATATACTCAATTACAGTTTAGAAGCATTCAGTGTTTTGGAAACTGGTATTTACGCTTCAGTTCCAATCTATGTATTTGGAAGTTGAAATTGAGGTGAGTATCTATGAAAAATTTGGTCGTTTAAGTTTTCTTGCCAGAAGCTGTTAATTATTAACAAAGCCATGTTTTTAGTTAGCATTTTTTACTTATGATTTTACAGGAATGTAACTCATGTTATTTTCATTTCTAATGCAGGAAATCAACTCAAGAAGATGAAACCTAATAAAGGAAAGACCTGCACTAGGGAGAGAGACTATGTGTACAAATTCAATGCTGGAAATCAACATTTAATGCTTACCGTGCCTCTTGAATTCCCTGTGCAAGAGAATATTAGTCATCTGCATGGACGTCTAATGCTTCTGCACAATCTGCCATGCTTTATAGAAAACGGTGAGAATTATTTTCTTAAATTAGTGCCCTATGTCCGTGTCCACAAGTGTCTTAAAACCTGCTTTAAGAAACAAAAAGAAGGGTATTTACTAGAACAGTCTTAAAAAAATTGTTTTTAAAACAGCAAAACATTAAAGAAAATTACTGTCAGTACTAGCAAGTGAGGTGCCCGATTAAAAGGTCTTCAGAAAAACTTTATTTGTATGTTTCCTAGATGATTACTGATACTTCCACTGACGTGTTTTGTTGATGGACCATTCTCTTCTTGTTATAATAGACCTGAAGCAATCTCTTAATAAGTTCATAGAAGAGGAAACTATAAAAGATTATGATAGAGAAGCTGAAATGGCTCTGGAAGCAGTGAAATCAGGAAAAGTAGACATAAACCAGCTGGCAGATACTTGGGCTAAATCTTATAAAGAGGTAAGAATAAGGCTGAAAAGTTAATATTCAGGACTTGCTTTGTGAGCATGTGTGTGCATGTGCAGACATAATCACATCTGTGAAGATGCAAAATTACACTGAAATTCACTTTTACTGATCAATTCTTACAATTTTTTCTTTTTATCCGAAAGTGATCATTAAGTCTTCATCCTACAAGTTCTCAGTCAAGTTTTTTCTGAATTTAATAGACTCAAAAGATAGAAAATTGAGGGGTAAATAGCTTGTGATACTCAAAAAATAGACATAAGGGTTATAGTGCATTAGAATCAAAGCAAGAGATAGTAAAGTGGTACTCCTATCCTCAATGTTCAATAATAGCAATGAAGACTCCAAAGAGAAAGTGTATCTTTGGGAGAGACTTTTCAGCTCATTTTCTGAGTTCATGTGACTATTTTACATTATTTAGCGATGATGAGGCTTTAGCTGGAGTAATGTGTCCAGTTTTGCATGTGATCTTTAAAATAGAGGAATGCAAAAGAACTGGAGGAGTCCTAGCGAACAGAAAAAAAGAATGACAGAAACTGCAGCATTTGAGGAAAAGTTTATAGGAATTGAATTTGTATGTCATGGGATATAGAAGAATGTTGTGAAAAATTCCAAAACATACATCTGTTTTAAAGAGAATTGGAAGCAAATCATCTGCCTTAATGAACATCAACAAAATGAAATTACCTTAACCTTTAAGAAGGAAAAATTTGTCTTGGGTGGGCATGGGAATGTGATAAAACATTGAAAGAGTTGACAATCTTCTGTGCTAGCAAAGAGTTGACAATCTTCTGTGCTAGCAGTTTCTATGAATAGGTTAGCCTGAGTGCAAGGGTGAGATTAGATCATTTCTTGACATTTCTAACCTATACTTCAAATGATACAATCTCAATTTGTCAGCTGAATCTGGTGGGAATGATTGCAAATATAAGGAGTGTTTCAGTATAAAGGAGCTTGCAAAACTGGCATCTTTGGGCCATTCTTTGTTCAATAAAAATGGCTTTTCTTAAATCAGTGTTGTTGATCAAATTCTAGGGACATCAGAGGTTAGTCATCCTTTCGAGCAAAATATCTTTCTTGGCACAGCTGGTGTTTTGGCCCCTGTCTAAAATTCATCAATTGCAAATATTTTTGTAGATATTATTGTTCTTTCCAAGTTGGTGATGGCTGAAAATTGGTAATTCCTCACTGTAGTCAAAACCTGAATGTTTCTGGTGTTAGTTGCTTTGAGAGAGAAAGAATATGGGAAGGGAGAAAATGTTAAAGCTAAAGCAGAATACAGAAAGCTCAAATTAAGAAAGATAATTCATGTATGTTGAAGGTTGTGCAACAGTGTGCATGCCTAGTAGGTTTTGCCCCACCATTACGAGGGATCCTTGTATGTCCTAAAAGGTACCATATGCTTTAAAGTATCTTACAATTTTTAGACAACATTAGAATATGCAAAACCTGAAGAAACCAGCTGGGATGAAGATTTTGCAGATGTTTATCATGATCTGATACATTCTCCAGCTTCTGAAATGCTGTTAAATCTGGAACACAATTATTTTGTTAGTATCTCAGAATTAATAAGTGAAAGAGATGTGGAACTGAAAAAACTACGGGAAAGGTACTCCTTCTTTTTTCTTTTTCTATCTTCTTAAATTGGGTTGCATGCCACGGGGGGTATACAACTTGTAGGACAACGTGTATCAACTTGTATTTGTTGATACTATTTTAGTTTTATGTTTGCCTCTCTAAAGTCATATAATACTTAGCCTATATTGTTAGTGTCACCTATCTTATACTCTCCTCAGTCACTGAAAATAATAAAAGCTAAGGCCATCAAAGTAATACAAGGTTTGATTTCCATTGTTCTATTCACGTTGTAAGTGGTACAGCAACGTAAAGTGCTTAGGATATTTAGAAAATAAAATATATGTACGTACCATGTTTTGCCTTCGTTATGATGTAATTTAAATGAAAAATTGGAAATTCCATGTGGTGAAAAGATGAGCAAAAGACTTGAACCAACTTTAAATCAGAAACTGTTGAATTTCAAACTTAGGAAAGTATGGGATCCCGAGTTTCTGAATAAGCTTGAATAGCTGCAGGTGGCTGCTTTGCCCACAAGAGGGAACACATACAATGCAGAGTTTTCTTTTTCTTTTTGACACTAATTAGGTTAAGGAAAATGAATGCACACAGATATAGATATAGTATAGATGCTAAATGCTAGGGAAGCTTGTGAGATGCCAGGATATTCTAAGTAGGTATGTTTTAGCATTCTAAGTGGCAATATTCCTCTTGAGTTGTGTTTGTTTAAGCTCACATTATACAATGCTTACCTGTTTATATAGTTTCTTCTACACTGATACTGAATCTTAGAATCATACAATAGTTGGAAGGGACCTTTAAAGGTCATCTAGTCCAACCCCCCTGCTGTGGGCAGGGACATCTTCAACTAGATCAGATTGCTCAGAGCCCTGTCCAACCTGACCTTGAATGTTTCCAAGGATGGGGCATCTACCACCTCGCTGGGCAATCTGTTCCAGTGTTTCACCACCTGCATAGTAAAATATTTCTTCCTTGTATCTAGTCTAAATCTACCTTCTTTTAGTTTAAAACCATTCCCCCTTGATCTGTCACAACAGGCCCTGCTAAAAAGTTTGTCCCCATCTTTCTTGTAAGCCCCCTTTAAGGACTGAAAGGCTGCAATAAGGTCTCCTCAAAGCCTTCTCTTCTCCAGGCTGAACAACCCCAACTGTCTCAGCCTTTCTTCATAGGAGAGGCGTTCTGTCCCCCTGATCATTTTCGTGGCCCTCCTCTGGACCCACTCCAACAGGTCCATGTCTTTCCCATGCTGAGGGCTCCAGAGCTGGACACAGTACTCCAGGTGGGGTCTCACCAGAGCAGAGTAGAGGGGCAGAATCACCTCCCTTGACCTGCTGGTCACGCTTCTTCTGATGCAGCCCAGGGTACAGT